GGGGGCCGTCCTGGCGAAGGTAGGGACCCGCAGGGGGTCTCTCCAGCGGGGACCACGCTGGGGTGTGGGGGCTCCCCCTGCTCTGCAGCCCCAACCTGCTGCCCGGCGCGGGGTCCCCAGCAGCAGCGTGTGTGTGGGGGGGTGATGGGGACTCCCCGTGCCCGTTCTCTGCACGGCTGAGGGTGCTGGTTCCTCCCAGGGCTGGTTCTCAGCTCAGCAGTGCTGCCTGGGGTGCAGGTCTGCTCTCCAGAGGTGGGCTCTGGTGCCCCAGGGAGGTGCAGGATGGTGCTCAGCACCTCTGCTCACCACCTCTGCAGCCCCAGCCGTTCTCACGCCTGCGCTCCTACCTGCAGCACAGCCCTCCAAGGTCAACCCACATTCAGTGCTGCTGGTCCCAGAGCCCGGGCAGCCCACGCCCCGCAGCACGGTGCCTTTGGCCACCACAAGCCCCTGGGTGGCTCATCCTGCCAGGAGAGCGGTGGCTGGCTCATTATCTCAGGAGAGCTAAGAGAGTTCGTATTTGCCTGGCGCTTAGGGCTGCCTTTCAGGAGGAAAGTGAGGAGATTAGCTCCTCCTTGACCTGATGCCAGCAGCCCACGCTGGCCTGGCGAGCACATCTGCCGGGCACAGCACAAACGGGGCTGCCCCTGCAGGCTGGGCTGGGGAGCCAGCGGTACACGGAGGCCGGGGGAGGAGTCTTCAGCGTCATCCAGACGGACAACCAGATCCCCTCTGCCCTCCTGTGTGAGATCATCCTGACCACCTTCCTGCTCCTCGTGGTCTGCATGGGAGCCCTCAACGGGAAGAGCAAGACCCCGCTGGCACCTCTGTACATCGGCTTCACCATCACCATCAACGTCCTGGCAGGGTGAGCTCGTGAGTCCTCCCCCCGGGGGTGTCCCCACCGGGCAGGGGTCAGGATGGCACCACGAGCTGTGGGCATGGAGCTGGTGCTCTGAGCTCCCTGCGGTGCTGGCCCAGCAGAGCCCGGGGGTGGCATCAGGGCTCCCCTGCTCCCTCCCTGGCTGCTCCCCTGGCTCTGCACCCTGCTCCTGGGAGGACACAGTGCCCAGGCCTGGGGCGAGTGAGATGGGGCTGGATGGGGTGAAATGGGGTGAGATTGGGTGAGATCAGCAGTGCCCCTGCACAGCACAGGGCAGCCGAGGGGAGCCGAGCACCCTGTGGGGGCTGGTGAATGAGGACACCAGCCCCTGCTGGTTTTTGGGGAGAGCTGCTGGGCGCAGCCTGGCCGGGTGCAGAGGAGGCCGTTGGCTTGAGCCCAGCACGTGGCTCTTGAGCCAGAGCAGCCTTCCCAAGGACCTGCTGGGGGATGATAAAGCTGAAGGGCCCCAGGAGTGGTGTTTGCCGTGGGAAGCCCTGAGCAAACAGGAGAGGGTTTATCTGGAGCCATCCCTCGCCCGTGGCCTCGTGGCTGCTGGAAGCGCTGCCAGGCTCGGCCTGGGTCCTGTGCCACTGCAATCAGATAACGAGTGCACACAATTATGAATGTTAATGGGTGTTTAGTTAAGGCAGTGCCCCCTCTAGTGGGATTCGGGCTCTTATTTAAACACCACCCAAACCTCATGTGCAAATATTTATGGGTTGCAGTTTTCTTTAATCTGTAAACACCATTGTCTCTCCTGCCCCGCTACCTACGCACGGCTCGGAGCTTTCCCCACTTAACAGCCCAGCTCCTGGTGAACCCCAGGATAGACTCAGCTCTTGTGCTCCCACCCCATGGGCTGGGCTTTCCCCAAGAGCCTGAAGACAAAAACCAGCGAGATTCAAGCCAATGAGAGAACTCATCTCTGATCACCCTTCACAAACCCCCTCAGCGTCCCTCTGAGAACCACCCAATCTGACTTGTATGTTGGGTCTCAGAATTTAGATTCCTGCCCTGTTTGGTTTCTTTATTTCTGTATTTTTCACACAGTTAAGATGCCCTGAGCAAAGGCAGGTGCCAGCTGGTGAGCAGTCACTCGGGTCTGGGCATCGTTACCCTGCCAGGGCAAAGTGTCCCCACTGGATGGGGACCAGGGTGGTCTGAGCCTGCCACCCACCCGGAGCAGGGCCAGGTGCCCGGCAAGGAGCCCCCGGAGGGACACGGTGCTGCCCACCCAAGCCTGGCAGCGAGGGGCGGGTGCTGCTCTCGTGCCCCCCGGGGCTGATGTCACTGGTTTGTCCCTCCAGCGCCGGCGTGTCCGGAGCCTGCATGAACCCTGCCAGAGCCTTCGGGCCAGCCGTGGTGGCAAACTACTGGGACTACCACTGGGTGTACTGGGTGGGGCCCATGGTGGCTGCCCTCCTCGCCAGCGTGCTGATGAGGTACGTGGTGCCCGCCGTGGTATGGGGGGCAGAGCCCCTGAGCCCCTTGCCC